ACTATAAAATGATACCCGCATTACGCAATAAACCCTCACTGTAACATTGGGATGGATAGCAATATTTAATCTCACATTAAACAGATTGTCAACGAGTATTTATTTTTGTTTTAAACAGTTCCGCTCAATCTTATTTGCTACCTCACAATCCTTATGTCTGTTGTTTTTTTTGCATACTGCATTAAGATAGTACTTCGATGCACTTGACACCAAGACTTATTAGATGGATAAATAATCAAACAAATCAATGAATAATAATTACTTTTACTTTTGAATGACTTTTGAGAAGTATGAAAAGGTGATACTGTACTGCTTTTCTGTCTGCCAAGAATACATTCCATAGCCAAATATAGGTTACCCTCCTACTTACACAAGTTAAGCCAAGTTGCCAAATTAAAAACTAAGAAAACTTAATGCTTTGTGATAACTAACTGAAACATTTCTTATTAATTAACTTCTATCGCATTTTCAAAGACAGAACAAACAATCCTTGTAGATTATCTAGGCAACGTCAAGCTATTCCTACTCATGTTCTGTGGCAGTAACAGAATGGCTGTAAATTAGAATTTTTGCTCTAAATCTAAGCATAACCTTCTTAGTATGATTTTGTGTCAAGTTATATATTTCTGAAAATTATTACAGATGATAATGCAAGTGATTTATTTTTCTACTAAAATGAGGACTTTTAGTTTTGATCTTTTCTGGTATACCGTTGTGAAATCCTTAGATATCCTATGTCCTTCATGCTAAGCAGATTAAGGTAACTTTTTTACTAGCTACTTGTAAATCTAGCTTAGACATAGGAGTACTTTCAAACTTTTTTGTTTGTTTAGGTAGCAATGACAAAATTTGCCGAGGTGACGCCATTTTGGCGCAACTCGCCCGGAAAGAGCATTGGCGGCGAGTCGAAAAAGGATTAGTAAGAGTTAATCCAGTGCTATGTTTATCACTATGACCATGAGAATGGCGCTAATGGGAATAGAGATCGAGGACAGTCTCGACATTCCCTCTCTCACAAAGTGTCAGCATCGGTTCAACTGATAACATCTGCTCACCCTCTGCTGACAGCCGAATGATCAATCGCGCGCATTTGAAATCGCACTTTGATAAAATGCTATTGTAGCCACTGTTTGAATAACCATATGCATCTTAAAGTCAATTTATTGCTATAAATTGCATAAACATTTATACAACTCTCGTATAGGAAAATAAATGATATCTAGGATTATAAGCTAAGAACCGGATTAAACTCAAATTTTACCACGACCTACATTTTCACAGCAGAGAGAAATTTGCGTCACTCTTTTTTTCACAGAGTAACTCATCCTATTTACACGGTTTGGAACGTCGGAAGATGAGCTTCCACAGTCGCTTTAGTTTGCAGGGTTTCTTCGTTTTAGTAGTGCGTAATTCTTGAAGCCTCTGAAGTCGACGGCATTCCAATAAATGATGGTCAATTTCCTAAACAAGGAATGTGTGCTAGATGTAGAAATTACTCACAACAGAGGCAGAAATGCATAGAATAAGTGATACGGACCTTCAGACGCTGTGCTGTTTTTATACGATCCATTTCATCCAATTTTTCATCTGAAGCTCTTGCCCTAGCTGCTTCTATCATGCAGATGGTTACCGTAGCCTTCAAAATGAATCAGGATCATAGCTAGTAAGAAGAAGTTCAAGTTCTATATAACAAAATATTTAAAGCTTTGAACTACGGAAGAGCCGGCGTGAAAAACTAACCTGATCACAAATATCAGCGTACAGATGACAGAGATATGCAAGATCATCTAGCAAAGCAATACGCTCTGGATGATAAGATGGATAGTTCTAAACAGATTTTTTCGAATTTTCCCAAAATTGTGGAGTCAGGATATGACAATTACCTTAGCTCCTACTCTTAGTAGCTCTGTGTAGGCCATCTGTACTCCTTTCCAAACTGTTCGCCTGGAGTTTGGCTTCAAGACGGGTGCAGCATTTCTCGTAAGGCTGTTCGCTTGATGAAAACAGTGAAGAAGTGCATCAGCATAGATAGCGAGCTCCTCTTTTGGAACGTCACTGTAAACCAATTTTTCATTTAAAAAATACCGTCAGGGTTGCATCGTATAGTCTAAGCGCACGATTTCTTATTTTCGGATAAAGAATCGGGTTTCAATTGATTCTCAATATATTATATTTAATATCATATAATGAGCAAATAAATAACATTCAGCGATCGAAATTGAAATACTGAAAGAGTCAAAAATTGTAAAAGCTGGTTTGCTTTATACACTTCTTAAATGTATTAATATAATTTGTTTTATTTCTCATTCACATTTTCACATTCAAACGATCGCTCGAATCCGTTATTTTGCCCTACACCATCGTTAAATACTTATAGCATCTAAATCAGTATTTCAGTCAGCAACTTTGGTTTGGTTTACACTGTTAGCCGTATCAAGTGAGACGATCATAATCCGTCAATTTAGGAATTAAGGACGACCTTGCAACTTGAGAAAAAAAAGTTCTGCTGGAATGTTAGGAAGGTATGACTAGAAAAGAATTCTTTTGTGGCCGTTTTCCAAGGTTTTACTAAGGTACTGTAACATCTCAGGGATAACTCCCACTCTTTTGCTGCTTTTACACGGAAAAATCAAAACCATAAAAGTGTTAGTGATTCGTTTTCTATCACATGCAGAAGATAGTTTTTATAAGGTTGAGAATACCTACTCGTATAGAATTGTTGTAATTATAGCGGCTGCCTTCAAGAAGGAATCTAATCGCTGCTCTGCTG